AGCCTTATGAGTGTCACTTCCGTACTTCCTGTTAGGATTCTTCCTCTTCCATTCATCAAACTTCCTGCAATCCCTCTTCTGGTGACCAGGTTTCTTGCAAAAATAACACGCGTCTCCACCCTGTAGTGCATTTATCCCGCTCTCAGCATCTGCAATTCTTTAGCATATGACACGTCCTCCACCAGCCCTGGCATGGCGTTGACGTCCATGGGCACCTGTCCCGTCTTCAACATCTCGTTGACCTTAGTTATTTCGCTCTTATCATACCCGTATGTACTTTGTAAGCCTGCCATATCCTGGGCTGGGGCCCTGGGGTCTAGGTTATAAGTCCTCATGTTCACTAACTAGTGGTCCAGAACTGCCTTAATCTCCCTTTCATGCTTATTATCTTTAGGCATAAACAACAACCAAGTTTTCCTCAGTTCTGCGTTGTATAATCCTAACAATATATTAGTCTTGAACTCGACTAAACTTCTCCTGGCTGGGGGGTAGGCTTGCACAAATAATCTGAGCTTGTCTGTGTAAAACTGCCTAGCATCTTCATTTCTTGCCTGTCTCCTGTGCAGGTATTCCATCTTCCTGCCCTTCTCGTCCTTCTCCTGAGTGAACTTCTTCAATAATTCTTGAAAGAATTCACCAATCTCGTAGTTGTCGAAAGCTAATCCATCAGGTTTCAACAATAAAGGGTTACATTGAAATAGATAAGATATATTGATAACATGGCTAATAAAGATCGTGATAAGCATTACAACAGAAAATGCTACAGTATAATGAGCATAGTTTTTTTTAACTTTATAGATTTCTCTGTTTAGTGCATAGTTTTTCTGAACTTTATAGTTTTCTCTGTTTAGTGCAAATATGATAAGCATAGTTTTGCAGAACTTTATAGATTTCTCTGTTTAGTGCAAATATGATAAGCATAGTTTTTCTGAATGTAAATTGTCCAAACTGGCAAAAAAAGGTTTCACTCTCACAGGTAGAAAAACTCGGGTTTGGAAATTAATTTCGATATATTTCATATCCTCAATCTGTTTAGTGCAAATATAATGAGCATAGTTTTTCTGAACTTGATAGATTTCTCTTTTTAGTGCAAATATGATAAGTATAGTTTTTCTAAACTTTATAGATTTCTCATAATTCAAACATTAAATGCTAAATTAAGCTATATAAAACACCAATCAGTATATTATTGGATATGGACAAAATCCTTTAACAATATCAAATGCATCAAAAATTCAAATCTAGAATAAACAAAATATTAAATACATTTCCTTTCGTTATTTATTATAAAAAGATATAAACAATTTTACGACATCTTCAAACTCATGAGGAATATTTGTTGTATCCAGTGTATCCAGTGTATCAAGTGTACCCAGTGTATCCAGTGTATCCAGTGTATCCAGTGTATCTAGTGTATCTAGTGTATCCAGTGTATCCAGTTTATCCAGTGTATCTAGTGTACCCAGTGTATCCAGTGTATCCAGTTTATCTAGTGTATCCAGTGTGTCCAGTGTATCCAGTGTATCCAGTGTATCCAGTGTATCTAGTGTATCCAGTGTATCCAGTGTATCCAGGATATATCCAGTGTATCCAGGATATATCCAGTGTATCCAGTGTATCCAGTGTATCCAGTGTATCCAGTGTATCCGGTGTATCGAGTGTAATCAGTTTATCTAGAGTATTCAGTGTATCTAGTGTATCCAGTGCACCAGTGTATCCAGTGTATCTAGTGTAACCAGTGTATCTAGTGTAACCAGTGTATCCAGTGTATCCAGTGTATCCAGCGTATCCAGTGTAACAAGTGTATCTAGTGTATCCAGTGTATCCAGGATATATCCAGTGTATCAAGCGTATCCAGTGTATCCAGTGTATCCAGTGTATCCGGTGTATCGAGTGTATCCAGTTTATCTAGAGTATTCAGTGTATCTAGTGTATCTAGTGTATCCAGGGTATCCAGTGCACCAGTGTATCCAGTGTATCTAGTGTAACCAGTGTATACAGTGTATCCAGTGTATCCAGTGTAACCAGTGTATCTAGTGTATCTAGTGTATCCAGTGTATCTAGTGTATCAAGTGTATCCAGTATATATCCAGTATCCCTGGAAGATTTATCTTGTTTTCTTAAAATGTATTTAAATATTTTTATTCTAAAACTTTGAAGGACTTTCTAGAAACCATAGATTTAACTTAAACTTAGAGAGTAAATTAGATATTCGCTGAATGCATTATAAACCTCCTTTATTCCATTAATATCTCACTCACTAATTCTTTTCTACTCGATTCTTTTTTGTTTCGTTTTGTTTAAGGTTTTTAACGATCATAGTTGAGGACATCATCAGTATGGTTTTAGTGTATTAAATTGTAGGACTATGGTTAGGGGTGGTAAAAATACTTATGGAATTTTTTTTATTAAAATTAAATTGTTAACAATTTATGGGGTTTTCTGCAACACTCCGTATTTTATTACGCTGTAAATTTGGCAAAATCATACTGCAATTCTTTATCTTTAATGTGTACACTGTACTGTGCAAATTTAAATTTAATATACTCTTAAAATAAAAAAAAACATTTACAGAGAGTTATTTAATAATAGAACCCTGAATAAAAATATATCCTTGACTTATCTGTAAGATAAACAATTTTTTGTTGGACGATTCTTATGATGATACTTGATAATATATAGACCACCTTTATTTATAAATAATACAGAAAACAATATTCATATGAATAATAAGATTAGTATGCACTTTTACAAAGCATCTGAAATACTTATCAATAATAATATTAGCCTAATCAAATAATTCAAGTCCAACTATGTAGAAAGGGGAGGGTAGAAAAAGGGGGGGAATAGGGTTGTGGAAAAGAGGGGGGGGATGTAGAAGGGGGGAGGAGAGAGGGTTATATCCATCGGTTCGTTAAATGGAAGGAATAATCTGGAAAGTTTTTCAATAGAATAAGAAAGTTTTCCCTTTAAGCCTCCTGTCATACACCAGGCGCACATCAAATCTTCCAAACCTATTTTTAAATGTCCTACTGCAGTCTTCCATACAGTGGTTCCCAGAATAAAATGGAATATGGAATCAGAAATTGGTTTTTTTGTTATTTTTTTTAACATCTTTAACTTTGACCAAAAAAAACAGATTTAAAGCTTGTATTTTATTTTTTTAGAATTCAACCCTTTTCCTAATTTCAGAGTTTAAAATGGCAGTATAAATTTTGTCTCTACGAATAAACATTACAAAGAAAATAAAAGAGAAGAAGAAGAAGAGAAAAGATGAAAGCAGAAGATGAATAAAAGAAGATTATAAGAAATATATAAAAAATGAACTCTAGGTCATCGATCTACCTTCTTCTACTCCTGCTAATGGTAAGCATTAAGATCTGAAAAGATAAAAGTAAAACTAAAAAAAATATAATTTAAAAAGGAGTGAAACAATATAAGGTCCAAATTGTGCATGATTAGCATTTTTTTCTTTTCCCGGAATAATAGTAAAAAAAATCCCTGTTCTACGATATATGAAATTAATAAACAAATTGTGTTTAAAATATTTTAACTATATTAAATCAAATTTGATCAGCAATATTTTCGAAAAAAAAAATAATGAAGTTTTCAAAACTGAAATATTAATCAAATTGAAAATATTTTTTTCAAAAACTAAATAAATCAAAAACTTTTGTTGGTTGAAAAATATCTAATTAAATTAAACTAATCTCCGAAATTGTTGCCATGGAAGAAATCTATTTATTTTGCATAAAAACTTCAAGAAAGTTTTATAAATAAGATTGAAAAAATTTATGATGAAGGTTCCTAATAAGAATTGATAATAATTGTTTTTGAAAATTCTTTGATTTTTTCTATTTTTGTTATGCCTCAAAACTATGATATTTCTTTTTAACAAAGATAAAATTTAAAAAAAACTTCTAGTTTTTTATTTGTCAAAAACTTAAAAAAATTGACAAAACATTTGTTTTTGATCTCATCATTAATATTGGGCAACTTTAAATGAATTTAAGTGGAAAATATCCTTTTTTACAAAAAGTTAAATTATCCAAGGTTTTAATGAGCATAGTTTTT